TAATTAAAATACTATTCGTTACAATTATAAATTGGCGCCGTGGATGTCTCTCTTGTGAAACGTCCCGCTCCAAACTGTGTGACTTGAAAATATAAAAATAAAAATGTGAACGGAAAAATATGTCCAGGGTAGCCTAGTGGTCATGGCATCTGCCCGGTAAGCGGAAGGTCGTGGGTTCGATTCCCATCCCTTGACACTTTTTTTATTTTATCCATTCTGACCAAAATCTATCCGTGAACTTAACACAGTGAACTTCACACAGAGAGAATAAGGCAATTATATAAGTAGATAATCCAAATTGTGCCTTATCACACACTATTTTTTTATTTGGCCTTATTACCTTGTGTTTAAAATCTATGACGTAATGCCGGCGGCGCGCGCCCGTTGGCTGCCAGCGATCACGTGACCTCCCTGTGCGCGCGCATCCGTGACAGAACCGGCCGGCCCATGACGGTCGTGACTATATATATACTGGATGGATAATAATAATAATATAATAATAATAATAATAATAATAATAATTATAATTATTATTATTATCATTAGATAATGATAATGATCATATTGATGATGCGCGCGCATCCGTGACAGAACCGGCCGGCCGGCCCATGACGGTCGTGACTATATATATTGATAATAATAATAATATAATAATAATAATAATTATTATTATTATTATTATTAATATTATTATCATTAGATAATGATAATGATCACAATGATGATGCGCGCGCATCCGTGACAGAACCGGCCGGCCGGTCCATGACGGTCGTGACTATATATGTTGACTAGACGAATGGCCCGGGCAACGCCCGGGTTTTACCCGAGTGCGTATATATTTTTAAAATGTTTTAATTAAAATACTATTTGTTACAATTATAAATTGGCGCCATGGATGTCTCTCTTGTGAAACGTCCCGCTCCAAACTTTACATGTACATTAGGTCAGCTGGTATTACCCCTCATTTTCACCGCTAGAGGCGCGAGCGAATTGACTTTTTGTAAATATACATAATTATAAAGATAGAAGCTTCTATAGAAGATAATGATCATAATGATGATGCGCGCGCATCCGTGACAGCGATGAGGAATTGAGGAAAGACGGTCGTGACTATATATTAACTAGACGAATGGCCCGGGCAACGCCCGAGTTTTACCCGAGTGCGTATATATTTTAAAAATGTTTTAATTAAAATACTATTCGTTACAATTATAAATTGGCGCCGTGGATGTCTCTCTTATGAAACGTCCCGCCCCAAACTGTGTGTGTCTTGAAAATATAAAAATGTGAACGGAAAAATATGTCCAGGGTAGTCTAGTGGTCATGGCATCTGCCCGGTAAGCGGAAGGTCGTGGGTTCGATTCCCATCCCTTGACACTTTTTTTATTTTATCCATTCTGACCAAAATCTATCTGTGAACTTCACACAGTGAACTTCACACAGAGAGAATAAGGCAATTATATAAGTAGATAATCCAAATTGTGCCTTATCACACACTATTTTTTATTTGGCCTTATTACCTTGTGTTTATAATCTATGACGTAATGCCGGCGGCGCGCGCCCGTTGGCTGCCGGCGAGCACGTGACCTTCCTGTGCGCGCGCATCCGTGACAGAACCGGCCCATGACGGTCGTGACTATATATGTTGATGGATAATAATAATAATATAATAATAATAATAATAATAATAATAATAATAATTATTATTATTATTATTATTATTATTATCATTAGATAATGATAATGATCATAATGATGATGCGCGCGCATCCGTGACAGAACCGGTCGGCCGGCCGGCCGGCCCATGACGGTCGTGACTATATATAGGGACTAGACGAATGGCCCGGGCAACGCCCGGGTTTTACCCGAGTGCGTATATATTTTAAAAATGTTTTAATTAAAATATTATTCGTTACAATTATAAATTGGCGCCGTGGATCTCTCTTTTGTGAAACGTCCCGCCCCAAACTGTGTGTGTCTTGAAAATATAAAAATAAAAATGTGAACGGAAAAATATGTCCAGGGTAGCCTAGTGGTCATGGCATCTGCCCGGTAAGCGGAAGGTCGTGGGTTCGATTCCCATCCCTTGAAATTTTTTTATTTTATCCATTCTGATCAAAATCTATCAGTGAACTTCACACAGTGAACTTCACACAGACAGAATAAGGCAATTATATAAGTAGATAATCCAAATTGTGCCTTATCACACACTATTTTTTTATTTTGCCTTATTACCTTGTGTTTATAATCTATGACGTAATGCCGGCGGCGCGCGCCCGTTGGCTGCCGGCTAAGCACGTGACCTCCCTGTGCGCGCGCATCCGTGACAGAACCGGCCGCCCATGACGGTCGTGACTATATATGTTGATAATAATAATAATATAATAATAATAATTATTATTATTATTATTATTATTATCATTAGATAATGATAATGATCATAATGATGATGCGCGCGCATCCGTGACAGAACCGGCCGGCCGGCCAGCCCGCCCATGACGGTCGTGACTATATATAGGGATAATAATAATATAATAATAAAATAATAATAATTATTATTATTATCATTAGATAATGATATAATGATCATAATGATGATGCGCGCGCATCCGTGACAGAACCGGTCGGCCGGCCGACCGGCCCATGACGGTCGTGACTATATATAGGGATAATAATAATATAATAATAATAATAATTATTATTATTATTATTATTATCATTAGATAATGATATAATGATCATAATGATGATGCGCGCGCATCCGTGACAGAACCGGCCGGCCGGCCCATGACGGTCGTGACTATATATAGGGATATATACAGTTAAACCTGTCTATAGCGCCCCCTCTTGGGCCTCAACAAAATAGTATATATGCATATATATGTGGAGTCATTACAAGTACCATCCAGATCAGCATATTAATCGAGAGAGGGGGTTATATGCAAAAAAGTTTATTTCGATGATAAAACAATGTGTATTAACTTTGATAAAACTATTAATATATATAGTCACGACCGTCTTTCCTCAATTCCTCATCGGCCGCTGTCACGGATGCGCGCGCATCATCATTATGATCATTATCATTATCTAATGATAATAATAATGATTATTATTATTATTATCAACATATATAGTCACGACCGTCTTTCCTCAATTTCTCATCGCTGTCATGGATGCGCGCGCATCATCATTATGATCATTATCATTATCTAATGATAATAATAATAATAATAATTATTATTATTATATTATTATTATATTATTATTATTATTATTATCAACATATATAGTCACGACCGTCTTTCCACCGTCATGTCACGGATGCGCGCGCATCTTCATTATGATCATTATCATTATCTAATGATAATAATAATAATTATTATTATTATATTATTATTATTATTATCAACATATATAGTCACGATCGTCTTTCCTCCTCAATCAATTCCTCATGTCACGGATGCGCGTGCATCATCATTATGATCATTATCATTATCTAATGATAATAATAATAATAATTATTATTATATTATTATTATTATCAACATATATAGTCACGACCTTCTTTCCACCGTCAACAATTCCTCATGTCACGGATGCGCGCGCATCATCATTATGATCATTATCTTCTATAGAAGCTTCTATCTTTATAATTATGTATATTTACAAAAAGTCAATTCGCTCGCGCCTCTAGCGGTGAAAATGAGGGGCAATACCAGCTGACCTAATGTACATGTAAAGTTTAGAGCGGGACGTTTCACAAGAGTGACATCCACGGCTCTAATTTATAATTGTAACAAATAGTATTTGAATAAAAACATTCAATCGGGTAAAACCCGGGCGTTGCCCGGGCCATTCGTCTAGTCAACATATATAGTCACGACCGTCTTTCCTCAATTCCTCATCGCTGTCACGGATGCGCGCGCACAGGGAGGTCACGTGCTCGCCGGCAGCCAAAGGGCGCGCGCCGCCGGCATTACGTCATAGATTATAAACACAAGGTAATAAGGCCAAATAAAAAAATAGTGTGTGATAAGGCACAATTTGGATTATATACCTTTATAATTGCCTTATTCTGTCTGTGTGAAGTTCACTGTGTGAAGTTCACGGATAGATTTTGGTCAGAATGGATAAAATAAAAAAAGTGTCAAGGGATGGGAATCGAACCCACGACCTTCCGCTTACCGGGCAGATGCCATGACCACTAGGCTACCCTGGACATATTTTTCCGTTCACATTTTTATATTTTCAAGACACACACAGTTTGGGGCGGGACGTTTCATAAGAGAGACATCCACGGCGCCAATTTATAATTGTAACGAATAGTATTTTAATTAAAACATTTTTAAAATATATACGCACTCGGGTAAAACCCGGGCGTTGCCCGGGCCATTCGTCTAGTTAATATATAGTCACGACCGTCTTTCCTCAATTCCTCATCGCTGTCACGGATGCGCGCGCATCATCATTATGATCATTATCTTCTATTGAAGCTTCTATCTTTATAATTATGTATATTTACAAAAAGTCAATTCGCTCGCGCCTCTAGCGGTGAAAATGAGGGGTAATACCAGCTGACCTAATGTACATGTAAAGTTTGGAGCGGGACGTTTCACAAGAGTGACATCCACGGCTCTAATTTATAATTGTAACAAATAGTATTTGAATAAAAACATTCAATCGGGTAAAACCCGGGCGTTGCCCGGGCCATTCGTCTAGTCAACATATATAGTCACGACCGTCTTTCCTCAATTCCTCATCGCTGTCACGGATGCGCGCGCACAGGGAGGTCACGTGCTCGCCGGCAGCCAAAGGGCGCGCGCCGCCGGCATTACGTCATAGATTATAAACACAAGGTAATAAGGCCAAATAAAAAAATAGTGTGTGATAAGGCACAATTTGGATTATATACTTATATAATTGCCTTATTCTGTCTGTGTGAAGTTCACTGTGTGAAGTTCACGGATAGATTTTGGTCAGAATGGATAAAATAAAAAAAGTGTCAAGGGAGGAATCGAACCCACGACCTTCCGCTTACCGGGCAGATGCCATGACCACTAGGCTACCCTGGACATATTTTTCCGTTCACATTTTTATATTTTCAAGACACACACAGTTTGGGGCGGGACGTTTCATAAGAGAGACATCCACGGCGCCAATTTATAATTGTAACGAATAGTATTTTAATTAAAACATTTTTAAAATATATACGCACTCGGGTAAAACCCGGGCGTTGCCCGGGCCATTCGTCTAGTTAATATATAGTCACGACCGTCTTTCCTCAATTCCTCATCGCTGTCACGGATGCGCGCGCATCATCATTATGATCATTATCTTCTATAGAAGCTTCTATCTTTATAATTATGTATATTTACAAAAAGTCAATTCGCTCGCGCCTCTAGCGGTGAAAATGAGGGGTAATACCAGCTGACCTAATGTACATGTAAAGTTTGGAGCGGGACGTTTCACAAGAGTGACATCCACGGCTCCAATTTATAATTGTAACAAATAGTATTGGAATAAAAACATTCAATCGGGTAAAACACGGGCGTTGCCCGGGTCATTCGGCTAGTATTATACAGGGTGTACCAGGTAAATTGGGACTAACTTTGACAGTCCATAAAACAAAAACTACTTGAGATTAAAAACTTGTTTTTTTTTCATTACGTAGCCATATTAATGTAAAATGCAACAGTACATGTGTGCGCAGTGTAGTGATGAACAGTAACCGAGAATTTGAAAATCGAACTGCCATCATCGTTGCTCTGCGCGCCGGAAGGAGTCCCAAAGAGATAGTGGATTTTCTTAAGTTGCCCAAAACCACTATTTATCGTGTCAAGAAGCAGTTTGATGAGGCCGACAGTAACAAAGAGGGGATAGCTACAAGGAAAAAGCACTCGCGTAGATCGGACAGGGTAAGAGGCGAAGAATTTGTCAAAAATGTCAAGGAGAAGATTGATGGAAACCCTGGGAAGAGCATGAGGGCCATAGCCAAGGAAATGGACGTTGGCTCTATGACAATTGTCAGAACTATCCATGAGGACCTTGGTCTCAAGTCTTATGCCCTTCGGAAAGGTCAGTTGCTGACTGAGAATATGAAGAATAACAGAAAAGGAAAGGCTGCTGCCCTCCTCAACAACCTGAAACACGACTCTTTTGGCATGCTAAGGTTCTTCTCTGACGAAAAGAACTTTGACGTGGACCAAAAGGTAAATCCCAGGAATGATCGCTGAATCTGTAAAGACCCCTCAGAGATACCTGTCGTGATGCACACGAAATTTCCTGCCTCCGTAATGGTCCTTGGCGTTATCAGCAGTGAAGGTGATGTCATGCCTCCCCATTTCTTTGAGAAGGGACTTAGGATGAACGCTGACACCTACATCAATGTTCTGGAGACCGTTGTGAAGCCTTGGATGGACATGGTGGCCGCAGTAAGGAAGTATGTCTTCCAACAGGACTCAGCTCCAGCCCATAAGGCAAAAAAGACACAATCGTGGCTGACACTTAACGTCCCTAGTCACTGGGGTCCTGATATTTGGCCCCCTAATTCTCCAGATTGCAATCCCCTCGACTACTATGTATGGGGCGTTGTTGAGAGAGATGTCAACAAAGCTCCTCATACCACCATCCAGTCTGTCAAGAAAGCAGTTCACACGGTGATGACCCAAATGGACAAGGTCATCGTCGCCAAGGCCTGTGCTTCATTCCGCACTCGCCTCGAGACTGTTGTAGCTAATAATGGAAACTTCATTGAATAAAAAAATCTATATCCTTTTATCTACTACTGTGTCAAATTTCATTCGGATATTTTAATTTTTACTTGCAAAAAATTTCAGTTAAAATACCATTGTTGAAATTCTCAATTTACCTGGTACACCCTGTATATAGAGTGTTGGTCAACAAAGATGATACATAACTCCATTCAGCCTATCAAACAAGATACTGAAGGAGGACTTAAACCAATCCTATATAAAAGATATGTACCAAATTTCCGTTAAGAAATTATGCCTTAAACTGCAAAATTCATCTAATCCAACTATTCAATATATTCTTTAAAATAAAGGAGATATCAATCATCGACGACCTGACTCTTAGTTAGGAGTTCCAACAGCTACAAGATCTGTCACCTCTACTCCACTAACTCACCATATGTAAATAGCCAGGACAAGGTGATTCGAATGTAACACCTGTAAACTGAGAAGAAATAAATAAATTAAAAAAATGATACATGTGCCCCCCAGTTAATAGGATTATATGCTTATCTGTATATATATATATAAATGAATGTATGTGTGTGTGTCCTTTATGCCTGACCAAACCACTCATTGGAACGCCATGAAACTTTGGGAAGTTATTTAGTATAGTAATGGGAAGGTTTCTGAAAAATAATTTCTTGAATATCTTGAATATCCTTAGAGTTATTTGCAGATTTGTAGATTTAACTCGCAAGCAGCGCCCCCATTGCGACGATGTTAGCAAGTTTTTTTATCCATAAGTTTTATTATCACTAAGTTTTTTATCTTAAAGATTATTTATCAAAAGTAAGATTTTCTACCTATTAATTGCGCACAAGTCAAAGATAGTTATCGAGTATTTTTCAAGGGACCGGGGAAAAATGTTCACTAGATAAAACGATGATTTTGTAATGTAGAAAATTAGGAAAGACAAAATTCAGGATGACACGGCAATTTATTTGAGACAAGAATAATGATACAATTCCAAGGCAAGATACTATTCCTTTAACTTTCCCATTACCGAGGGAACCAATTAATATTGATTTTATTCAACTTATCGAGTATTTTTCAAGGGACCGGGGGGAAAATGTTCACTAGATAAAATGATTTTGTAATGTAGAAAATTAGGAAAGACAAAATTCAGGATGACACGCCAATTTATTTGAGACAAGAATAATGATACAATTCCAAGGCAAGATACTATTCCTTTAACTTCCAATTACCGAGGGAACCAATTAATATTGATTTTATTCAACTTATCGAGTATTTTTCAAGGGACCGGGGAAAAAATGTTCACTTTATCGAGAGATTCAAATTTACGAGTTTCAAATTATCAAAATATATCTATTATTTTTTTTTTATAAGTTTATAGAGAATTGTTTTAACAAATGTTCGTTAGACAAACCTTTACTCGGGTAAAACCCGGGCGAAGCCGGGTACATCCGCTAGTCTGTATATAAATCTTTTACCTTGTATCATAAACCTTTGTAGATAGTTTGAGTAAAACGTGGTAACATGTTGAGTTTACATAAAACGAAATGTGCCCGCGGGAGAAATAAATTTTGATTGGAATATAATGCATTTTAAATTAACAATACAGTAGAACTTCCTTGTAAAGAACACCTAATTGCAGAACCAAAGTGTCCTTTAGAGAGAGGTGTTCTCTTACCAGAGAGTTGCTAAATAGTAAAAATAAATAATTTTACAAATGAAAACTGTCCTTTATAGAGAGGTGTCCGCTAAAGGGAGGTTCTACTGTATTTTCAAAAGTTGATTCGAAACAGTGTTGACTGAAGGTATTATGTATGAAGTAATTGTATTATATATTCGCCGTAATAATATTATTCGCCAAGTAATAAGAAAAAAACGTTTTAAGAAAAACACTAACTTTTAAGACAACTTTATCTACTTATATATTTGCCTTATTCTGTCTGTTTGTTTGTCTGTCTGAAGCTCACGGATGGGATTTTTCATAACCATCGGTGGTTCAGTGGTAGAATGCTCGCCTGCCACGCGGGCGGCCCGGGTTCGATTCCCGGCCGATGCATTTTTTTTTTTTACAATTTTCAAAACTCATTTATATATTATACAAGAATGACATCCACGGCGCCAATTTATAATTGTAACGAATAGTATTTGAATAAAAGCATTTAATCGGGTAAAACCTGGGCGTTGCCCGGGTCATTCGTATATAATAATTGTATAAACGAATGCAAGACAAAATCACCGCGAATGTTTCTTTTTTTTTTAAGGCAATTTCTTTTTAAGGCAATTATCGTTATTTATCGTTAATTTTTGTTTCGTATTGAAAAAAAAAACGATATGGTGCCTTTAAAAAATGATCTTTATTACTATGCAGTTTTCTATTTAGTCAATATACCTAAGTTCATGTTGCAAATGTAATTATCTCTATAGATTTAGTAGGTGAAATGCAAAAAAAAAAAATCGACATGATGAAATCTTTATGAAAATTCACATTTTTATTTTTATATTTTCAAGACACACAAAGTTTGGGGCGGGACGTTTCACAAGAGAGACATCCACGGCGCCAATTTATAATTGTAACGAATAGTATTTTAATTAAAACATTTTAAAAACACACAGTTTGGAACGGGACGTTTCACAAGAGTGACATCCATGGCGCCAATTTATAATTGTAACGAATAGTATTTGAATTAAAACGTTTTTAAAATATATACGCACTCGGGTAAAACCTGGGCGTTGCCCGGGCCATTCGTCTAATATTTAATAATGTTAGCGTACGCACCAGAGAGGCCTCTTATATATATATATTTAGATTTAAAAAGGATATACCTGGATCTGTGAAAGAAAAAAAATCTCAAAATATTTCAAGGGATTTCTCCTTCTTATCAATTTATTACCCAATAAACTAAAGTTTATTGTGATCTTTAAGTTTATTGTGTAATAAATTGATAAAGAGGGAACAATCCCTCGAATTATTTTAAGAAAAATTGTTTTTTTTTCTTTCACAGAGAGAGATATTTATAACCCAGGTTCCTGGAGTGCAGAACACCAACTACCCGGGGAGTCCAGTTCACTAGTATGGACTAGTGTTGAGCGCTTTTACTCGTGTCCTGTTTTGATTGCTGAGTTGAACCAGTTGACCAGAAAGTTCCATGTTGAGGTTGAGTCTGGGAGGCTGGCCATAGATGTAGGATTGAGGTGAGTCAGGCGCGTGCGCCTTATATGACGTTTAAGCACACGCTATTATATATATTATTATTATTCTGAGGTTTTAGGATTTTCAACCTGTTTGGAAAACGATATTTAATATATACACTCAAAGAAACCCACCCAGATATTGCTCGGGTCCTTTAT